GATAAATAAGTTAAAAAAAAATCCAGGCCAAATGGGCACTATGTCAATTTCATTGACTGAATCAGATTTTGGTCTTACAAATCACTTTTTTGTGGTGTCATCCAACCTCGGCACTTATGTTTGAGGTTCAATAGATTATAGGTAACATAAATAATTTTTAAATTTCTTAAACCGCAGCTCTTTGTATATACATGGTTTTCCATATATCTCACGTGTGCATGTTGTTCAATCTTGCCTGTACATTTAATTATTCGAGAAGTATTGCCTTTACTTTTTGTTGTAAGACACTTTGACATTTCAAAACAAATTGCTTAGGGGTTTTTGAACATGAAGAAATTAAGATAAAAACTTATTTCAGTGATTTTTATCATGGTTTTTGTCATTTCAAAATTAGAATCAATTTAAAACTAACACCTTTTAACTCTTGCCTATCTAAATTGTAAACTATGATTCCTTTAATATGTATTACTTTCCTTTGACAGATAACATGGGAAATGCTTGCCTGACAAGTTTTTTTGTAACTGGGGCATGGGATCATGGCAAGCTTCTGCAGTCCTTAAAAGCGTACCAAAATGCTGTAAGTTGGTGGATGAGAGCTTTGCTGCATAATACATTTTATGATCGTTAGTAGTTTATTCTAATCATTAAATGTACATTAGTTGATTGTTCAGTTATAGAGGGTTATTGTATGATTGCGGGTTTTAGTGACAATAATGATTTTTTATACAGTAATGTTTTATAGGTTGGACAAGTTTTAACATGTAATCTATTCATGTTATTATTATGGAATGTGGTTTAATTATTAATGCCATGTGCCAGGAGAAAGATGAAAGGATGAAGTCAAATCCAGACCTATATTTTAATTGTGCAACAGTGAGTTGACTGCTTTATCACTTTTTTCTTGGAGAATATTTTGAATGATAAACTTGCTGAGAATTAGCTTTTAAATGACGATTACTGATCTCTCTGAATGCCTGGTCATTGATAGTCATGTCATTTCTGGATATTCGCTGAAGAAAGCCTGGTCTCTTTATATTATATATATAATATTATATTGGTATATCGTACCCTTTTCTGTTTCAAAGATTGATAGGTTAAAAAAGTACTTCCTGTCAGATTAGATACATGTCTCACTATCTTAATATATTCACTATCTTTAATGCAGTAAACAAGGCTCATGGAGGATTTTCTTTTCCACTTAAGAGAAATAAATGCTGCATGTCATTTCTCCTATTTATTTTTTTATGAAGTTTCTGCTTTCAGGTAAACAAATATCTAGAGAATTATGATAGGGCTCTTAGTGGCTTTGAAGCTGCTGCCTTAAAGGATCCAAGTCTCAATGCTTCTGAGGAGGTTGAAAAGATGCTTAATCTTCTCGACAAGCTAGAGAATTTGCTGAGGGTAATGTATTTCCTTTTCTAAGAAGGCAATGGAATGGTTGGGGGCAAATGCCTGAAGACCTCAACTACTAGTTATGGCGATGCTACCAACTTGCCTTCATATTGGTAAATCATTTTCGATACTCGTCCTGTAGGGAAAAATTACCCCTCATCCACCTCAGGTTACCCAGATTTTTTTTTTAATAAGAGAAATTTTATAAGAGCTCATTTACCACTCTAAAGCCATATTTTAAAAAAGTTTTGTTATAAAAACTATGTGGATTCCTCTCAACAATTGAAAATATTATTAGTAATCACATTTAAATTTAACAAAAGAGAGGATAAGATATAAATAATTATGCATGAATTCCTGTCAAAATAAATAATTATGCGTGGAATATTCTGTCTTTTAACATTCAAATAATCTTCTGCATAAACGTCAAACATTAAAATTGTTAAATACAGACTTGCATACAATTCCTTGTAAACGCATACATAAATATTTAACATCTAAAAGAAAAATAAAAATTTATGTTTACTTTTGAAATATATCTTGGGTGTAAGGGGCAAAGCTATATTCTTTTCTTTTTCAAAAAACCTGCCTCTTTTCAATCCTCAATTTCTAATAAATTAACCTGTGTCATTTGAGGCCGGACAGCTAGGTCTATTTCAGCATTCTTAATTGCAGGAGAGAGTGATGCAGAACAGGTGAGAGAAGAGGCAGACAAATGGAGAACTGAGAGAAAGGGATAAAGAGCAAACAAATACATGAATTTAGTGAGAAAGAAGCATTGGTAGAAAAAAGGGGGAGAACCAAACAGTAAAATCTCGGCAGTCAATAATTTAAATCGCAATTATCATAATCCAACAACTTAGAGAACTTGAAAATAAAATAACTACTTATAGGTTGCAGTTTCACCCTAAAGAGGGAAATATAGAATGCCAGATATAAACCCTAAATGTCTTATTAGTTCAATAACTGAACATAAAAACTATGTCAAAGTGATTAAATAAAATTTTAAATATTTTAGTCCTTCAAAGTCAGCTTCTTTTGTCCACTCCTCAGATATACTCCCCTGGTATATGAATAATTGCAATGATGCTTCGCTTAGCTTTTCTGTTAAGTTTAGCATGTAAACACATTTATGGCCTTTTCCATTTCAAACCTCATCAGAAAAGCCAAATGAAGGTGGTATCTAAAATAAAAACACAATTTGCTGTCAAAATTTATTATCTACTTATCTGGTGCTTGGAAGAGAGAGGAGGAAAGGGCGACAGGATTTCTAAGATTTTGACTCATAGTGCAGGGTTCTTTGGATATTTTTCCTTAATTAATGTTGTGAACCTGGTACCTTGATTTTGTTGACTTTTCCATTTCACTTTCTCATTGATAGAGCAACATGCATTCATGAATTGCTTTTGATAGAAAGAGATTAGACACGAACTTATGTTGTGAAACAGATGGTGTAATTTGTATTTTCAATGAGTCATAACATGATGAAAGAGAACTTGTGTTTTGTTACTGGCAGGATTAACATTGTTTGGTGGTGAATCTCATTTGTTGTGTAATATCATTTTCCACTGCAATGGAGTTGATGTGATAAATGGGTTTCTACAGGGACATGGTAGGGCAAAAAGACTTGCTTCCTTTGCATCAACAATCAGTCGTGTTAATTGTAAGCATCTTGATTCTTCTACTTTGCTTTAGTTATTGGTTCACATTAATTTCAAGTGAGCCTAACTTACTAATTATCAGTAATATTTTTGGAATATAATGAGTACATTTTATTGTCATGTTCTTGTGTTAGTGAACTCTTCGTACAAAAGGGTCACTCTAGATGTGCTGTCAGAAGGTCTGAATAAAGCAGTTGCGGTACTGGGAAAAGTGGTATTGTTTGTTAAGCATGAGAATATCACCCCCCTGTAAGAAATCTACTTGACAGTCCCGTTTGTTCTATTTATTGAATTTCTGTACATAGTGCTTTTAAAGTATCTTATGCTTGCATATATTATTTGTATGGCTTGTCTCTGAGCCCGTAGAAATGTTTTGGATCCTAGCTCATGGTAGATCATCTGTGTTTTTAGAAGCCCTAAAAAAGATTGACTTTGGTAAATAGTATGCATGGTTTGCAATATTTGTGCAAGCTTAATTTGCCGTTGGGGTTCCAAGTTAAATAAGTTGCAGTTTGGATCTATTTAAAATAAGGAGAATGATGCCTTTAGGGATCATAGATATTATGGGAAAGGTTCTGAAGTCTTTACACATAAAGAGAATAGTAGCTGCGGTTTAAAATTCTCATTGCAAACATGCAGGAACAAGGTGGAGTCTACCCTTGTTTTAACTGAGTAATATGTCGTAATTTTGTGAAGGGAAATTACTTTCTACTAAATCATGGTGGGTTAAAGTTTCAATTCAGTGCCCTGCCCCTTTTGTTCTATTCCTTTTTGGATTTGTTGGTTGAACGAAATAGGAAGCATTTGATAGTATGGAGTATATTCTTCTATGAAACTTCATGATTCTAAGTATCTTTTCACTTCGTCATCTTCTAATTTCTTGATACCATTCTTTGATCTCATTGATTTATTAGATTTTAGGAATCTGCCTTTTGTTCTTCTTTCCTTGTTTGTTGCTGTCTTGTTTACCGTGTACTAGAGTGATACTTTGCCTTTTATAATCATATGATAAGTTATTATTTCTTGTGTATAAAACCAATAAACATAATATAGATTCCTTGTGGTCACAATATAAGTTTTTCCTTTTCATTTTCGTATGTGTGAGTGAGAGAAAGGGAAGAGGGGGAAGGAGTTGGCAGCAGCATTTTTTCCCCATAAAGTCTGTTGTTTATTGGCACTGAACCCTGTATCAGTGTCTTAGTGTTAGCTGCTCGTAATTTCATCATCAACTGAAATCAATAGTTTCATTTTCCCCTCCAATCCTGCGTGATGAGTTCTTAGGCAAAATATGAGCTAAATTTGTTTTGGTTTTGGCAGATACTTTTTGGTGTGCGATTCAAATCAAAGCTGCTTTGTTCTGTCAGTATATGGTATATGTAATGATGCAGTAAGTGTTGACTCTCTTGCTTTATGCCCTCTCTGTCTTCTTTTTTCCTTTTTCCTAAATTTCAACTTGATTCCGCTTATCAGTCATTTAGAGTTGCTTGTTAGAATTAATGAAACCTCTGTTCACAGATTAAAGAAGGAGATCAACTAACATTGTTGGAACCTTATTTCCATCATGTGGATTTTTCTTGGAAAGGAAAGGTATTGTCTCCTAGATTGTATTCTCTAAAAAATTTAAACATGCTGCAACCGCAGCCTGTTCATGATATGTGTATCACCTAGCTATCCAAACAATTCAAGGATTCTTGGTGTATAGTCGATCTCTCATCAGAATTATCTGATTTCTTATTGACTTTTTTGTTTGTTTGTTTTTAAATTACTCCAGCATCACCAGTTCAAATCAATTCGTGTGGATTTCGTAGAGCAAGTGCTTGTGAACGGAAAAGCTCTTCCTCCTCATCAAGCCATCCGCACATCTGTTTATGCTCAGCATAAACCATGAACGTTGCTTGAAGTGGAATAGCTATTTCTGTTTTAACGTTTTCCCCGCATTTTTCTCATCGGTTCTATTTTGTACTGTGTAAATATTTTGTTATAAAGGTCAATATGTTTGCAAGTTACAAATACAGATTGGTTTTCAAGCTCGTTCTCAATTTTGAAGGGCAACTGATAGACTACTTTTTTTTTTATCTTTTTGAAAGGCTGATGTTTGTTTTGGTGGAAACTGTTGGTTTATGTTTATAGATGCTCATTTATCCCATACTAGACTGAGATGCATGACATGAGCTCCTCAGCTCTATGGGATCAGTTACAACTCATAACTTTATTTTAGTTGGTACATCAATTGGATAAATGTCTTGCTCAATCTTTCAAGGTTATAACCATCCTTCCAATAGGCAAAAGTAATGTAATCTTGCAGAACGTAAAGAAGCACAAACCTGAGCTCCAGGTTGACGAGTATCCAAACTTACTAACCTGAAAGCCTCAAGGACTTAAGACATTAGCCGGAAACAAGAGATGGATTCTAAGAGCAGTTATGGATTCCAATTTTGGCAGTTTTAGGAAGTGAGGACATGGTAGGTTATGTGGGTTACGTGGCATATTAAAGGAAGTTTGCAACCAAGAACAAACACCATTGTCCAGGGGAATTAAATTATATATAAAATTACTGTTTAATATCTTTATCTATTTGACCCCTTTTAAAAATATTCTACCTCCACCCTGATCTTTGGTAAAGAATATTTGGATAACTGGCACGTCACTTCCTTTGTCCAAAAGATTTTATGAGTTTATTAGTAAGTAGACCACCTGAGAACTTCATGATCACTCACTCTAATTAGTTTCTATGGCTTTAACTCGTCTTGGATCTATTTTGTTATAATATATTTTATGGTCCCTCCTGAGTGTGGGGTTGATGGGCTGTGTACCTAATATGGTTCCATTTTTTCTTTAACCATGTGTAGAGTTGGGAGGTCAAATGGGATATGCGGAGCAAAACTTAGGTAGCGTGGTATAAGGAAAGTGAAAGTACAGTAATGTGTTTAATTAAATTACATAGTAATATTTGTTTTGTAACATATTATTAAAATGTAACATTATAAAGTGTAATGTAATGTGATTGCATTGTAATGTTCTTAAATATAATTTATCTTTTAACTTTATTATTTTATTAAAAATATTTTATAATATTATAATTAAAATAAAAAATATTAAAATCACATATATAATATAAGAATTAGAAATTAAAATAAAATAAAATATAAGAAATTAAAAATTATATGATATAGGTAAAAGAAATTAAAATAAAATATATAATATAAAAAATTATGTTAAAAAATGAAAATAAAATATATAAAATTATAATAAAAATGAAAATAAAATATATGATACTAAAAATATATTTAAGAAATCATATTATATAAAAATTAATACTAAAAAATACAAATATATTAAACTTGTATTTTAATAAATAAGGGTAATTTTAAAAATTAACATTATATTTATAACAAAATATTTATAAATCAAACGTTGTAATGTTATTTTTTTTACATTTTAATTATTATTTTACTTGTATACCAAACACTGTAATATTACTTTCTTTTCAATCACATTACTTGTAATCATATTACCTGTAATCATATTACCTATAATCATATTATATTATAAAGTATCAAATATTACTTTATTGATTTGTGAGTCACCAATGTCGACATTATGTTTGAAATCCCGAGTTTTCAAATAAAGGTAACAATAAAAAATTGAATGGTCGTTTCCTTTAAAAAAAATTCTAGCTTTTTTGAGAACTTTGTCTTTCTTTTTGTTACTTTCTCACATTGGTTGGCTGAACCCCTTCGGTTTCTCCATTATTTTACATTTTTTCTACTTTATTCTCCATTCTTCTCGTATCGTCGTGCTATCTCCATTTTCATATGTTATCTTGTTCCTTTTACTTGACAAAATCATGAACATGTGTTGTTTAATTTTAAATTTAAATTAAAGTGAAAAATTAAAACTCTAAATATTATCATTCAAGAATTTTACAATTAAGATTATTTGTCCCGAATCTAACTTTTATTGTTTTTATTAAGAGTTGATTTTAATTTTTCTATTTTTAAACTCACCAAGGTGCATATGTAATTTTAGGATTTATGAGATTTAAGAGTTGATTGATTAAGTGAATATGTGAAAAAAACTTGAAATTGGAACAATAGAATGATTAGTAGTTAATGTTATTATATTTAAGTTAGTGGTATAAATGAGCTTATGAAAGCTAAGTTAGTGAATAAAAATCATGTATTGATTCCTTTTGTGTTGATTGATCTTGATTCATTCTAGTGTCGAGAATTGATTAAGTGGCTTTTCGTTAATTTGATAGTATGTAAAGTGAGAGATATGCATTTAAATTATTTTTGATAAATTACTTTAAAAAAATATATAAAATACGAATATTTTGTATTATATATTTTGCCTTCAATTATGTTTAAATAGAAAGTTTTACCACTATCACCACAAGGAAATAATTGAAATTAAATAGAGTACCCTTTCTTACATTTTGTAGCTATTATTTTTATTTTTACAAATTTACAATTTTGGGAAGGAGAAATTTATCCTAACTCTTCAAGAATATAGAATCAACTAGCTAAGTACCTTTTACATCTCCCTCATGGTGACCCTGAGCTGTTGTACATCTTTCATCATCTGCCACAATTCTAATTTCTTTTTCAGGGTGCATTTGTGTAAAATATGAGAGAAAGATTTGCAAAAGTCCTTAATTACACATCACATCCCCTCAATATATCTAAGAATTGGTTTCTCCATAATCTCTTTGTTTTTACAACTCTCACCAAGGAATGGGGTTGAAGTTCTCTCCATTATCTGTTCCAAAGTTCCAAAAATATATACTAAACCAGAGTCATGACTTTTGATTTTTCTCATGAAAACCATAATTTACATTAAACGATATTCATTGGGAATTTAATGATATAGTAAGGTAATTTATTGTAAAAGCTCCTATTCCCCTTTCATAAATCATGACAAGTTGCATAGACAATTGTGAAGGACCAGTTTCGCCTCATCTTCCGCTCCAAACTATTCATTTATGGAGCCTACATCATAAATGAAAACGTAACAATGGAGACTTGGTTTATAAATGGACAAAAGCAGTCTGCACGCGTCAAAGAAAGCTATCCGTCTTGTCTTTATTTTATATTTGAACGATCAGTATACTGTTCACACGTGAAACAAAAGCTCTCCCGTTTTAAACTTTATAGCGCAATAACTGAGCAAGTGGCCACCACTCCATGTGTTTCATTTGATGGACGTCAGGAGTCGATCATCATGTTTTGCCTTTGGTGACCCATGATTCTGATACATAATGCAAAGCTTTGGTGTGAATTTCTAACACGTTTGTTTAACACAACGTTCTTTGATTCTCGCTTTGCTCTGTTGTTTCCTTCTCTTCTCTTGTTCTCCACCTCAAAGTGTCGGCTTCTCACATTCCTCTGCTCTCCATCCAAAAAACCATAGCCTTTCACTTTGATTCTCAGTTGCCTCTTTGTTCATAGCTACAGCTTATGAAGAGAGCCGCCATTTCCAATTTCTCACCGTTCTGATTCTTTCACTTGCCCACATCATTGTTAATATATTAGTTCTTGCTGTTTTCATTGTTGGGTCTGCTCGATCCCCTGTGGTCTCTCTTCTTCTTTCATTTGGTTCACTTGTCTATTGAATAAAAAAATGGAAGGTTTTGCTATTGGCGCCTGCGCCAACGCTTCTTCGGAAGCTGCGAAAGGCATCTTCCAAGAAATTATACGACATATGAGATATGTATTCATCTAAAAGAAAAATGTTGACAAGTTCGAGAATAAACTTGAGGTGTTGAAAGCAAAAAGAACAAGTGTGCAGCTAGAGGTCGATGATGCAGACAGGAAAGGGGAGAAGATAAAACCGGACGTCGAGCTTTCGTGCAAGACAGTGGACAAGGTACTCAATGAAGATGTGAAGAAAATGAAGGATCTTGAAGACAAAGCAAAGAACAACTTCAAGTCTCGCTACCAGCGTGGCAATTTAACAGATTATCCAACAGTACTGTCAATTTAACGGAGTGGGATACCGTGATGTTCTAGAAGCCCCCAAGTGTGTAGCTCCTAAAAATTTTAAGGCTTTTGATTCAAGAAAGGAGGTTTTGGACGGAGTTATAGAGGAATTAAAAGATTCTAGTATCAGCATGGTAGGGGTGTACGGGACGGATGTTGTGGGCAAAACCACACTAGTCAACCAAGTTACCTTGCAAGTTCAGGAGGATAAGTTATCTGATTGGGTGGTTAAAACAAC